CAATTACCTTTTAAAGAGACTTAAATTATAACTTTTTGAAAATTACATATTTACCCATATTTATCATTTCTAGTACTCATCATTCCTTTGTGTAGATCCATTATTTCCACTTTCCTAATTGTCTGATATCCAGTATCTTGTAACCTATTTTTTCACATAGTTTGTCTCTCTTATTTGGTTGTTTCAGCATGAAGGGTACATGCAGTCCTTGTTATTCCATCTTGGAACTAACACAACTAACTTTTAAGAAATTACCACTTTTCAAGTATTGGTGTAATATAAAAGAATATCCACAATTAAATGAAGAGATTATTATAAGACCTCTTTCTTTCCCAACTATGTTTCTGTGTGAGACTGGGCTTTATTTTGTACACTTCAACTATAACAACATATTATATCAAATTAAATGCAGAAACAAGTATGAGAATGTAGCTATCTTCTATAAAGTCAGTCATCAAAGATTAGTCAAAAATAAAAACTATGCTATTTTTCTCACTCAAGTTTTTGTTTTAGAAAATATATTTTTCATAAAAGAATGTTTGGGCTGGTCATCGTGGCTCACGCCTGTAATCCCAGTGCTTTGGGAGGCGAAGGTAGGAGGACTGTTTGAGGCCAGGAGTTCGAGACCAGCCTAAGCAACATAACCACACCCCACCTCTACAAAAAAATAAGCCCCTTGAGAGGACTACAAGTGTGTGCCACCTGTGTTGGGTGGGAGGACTGCTTGAGCCCAGGGTTACAGTAAGCTATGATTGTGCCACTGCACTCTTGCCTGGGCAACCCTGTTTCTAACAACAACAACAAAAAGCATGTTTGTTAATATCAATACATAAAACCCACATAAGCAAAAGTTTTTGGAGTCCTCAGGCCCTAGGACTATAATATTTGAATACCAGTACTCTATATAGTGTTTATCTAACCAGAAACCTTAATTTTACCATTTGAAGTTTTATTATCAGCTTGAGGTATACCATTATATCTTGGACAAGGAAATTAAGTTTTCCCCAATAGATTTAAAACTAGAACACCTAAAAGTTAGTAAAATAATGAATTAAAATGATGGCACTTCAAAATAGCTATGCATTTTATGTATTTTTCTATTCTTCTGTTTAACAGTTGAATGAAAAAAATGCAACTTCTATGTAGATTAATATAATCAATATCTACCTATCCACATACATAAAGTATAGCAGCAGTCATCTGTAATAGAAATTGGAATTGGAAAAAAGTTTTCCTAACCTATAAAATTAGGAGACCTATAATCATGATATTTTTGGCATAAATGCCTGAAATGCTCTCTTTCCTATACAAATAATTTCCATAGATCACTGGTTCTTATGAGTTGTTTCCAGGTGACAGAATACTCAATGATTAAGATCACAATATTTGGAATTAAGACTACTTGGGTTCAAACTCCAGCTCAAATTTCTAATCGTGTGATTTTGAGGCAGTCACTTCAATGTGCTTACTTTATTTTCTCTATTTGTAAAATGGGAATAAAAGTATTACTTCTATGGTTGTTCTGAGAAGTAAATGAGTTAAATAGTTAAAGTGCTTAAACCATTTCTGGTAAATAAAACATTTAGCTATGTTATATAAGTTTGGCAATTATGATTTCTTTTCAATATGCCTATTAGTCAATGTACTTTAAAAAGACACATCTGAAATCAACTTCTACACATACTCATTTATGAGCTCTAAGAGAAGGCACAAGGACAAGTTTGATGTTTTCTGAATCCCATAAGTGATTACGATTATACCTGACAAGAATTAAAAAGCACGGTCAGCTGGGTACAGTGGCTCATGCCTGTAATCACAGAGATTTGGAAGGCTGAGGTGGGAGGATCCCTTGACCACAGGAGTTTGAAACCAGCCTGGGCAACACAGTGAGACCTCATCTCTTAAAAAAAACAAAACAAAAACGAACCCTGGTCAGATTTTAAATAAATTATCACTTATACTAATCAGTGTTAGACTAAATTAAAATTGTTCCGAGAAATATTTCACAACCCTGAAGCTCAGGGCAGCAGAGTCAAACTGTTTCAAGCAGGGGAAGACATAATCTCTGCCACCATAATCTGTCTAAATTCATTCAACATTTAATGAGTAACCACTGAGTATCAGTATCAGGTGGACACAGACCAATAAGGTGTCTCTGTTCTTGGGAACTTAAAAGCTGGTGATAATAGTTGTGTATAATGATATAAGGCAAGTGTTTCCCATGGTATGGTACATGTTTGCATACTGCTGGCTCTATAATAAGCAACCCAAGTATTCCTGGGATCAGGGTTGTCTGTGTACAATAGGAAATGAGTAATGATAGCCACTACTATGCAATAGGCTCTTTTCTGTAATAATGGCACTACTGGTATCAGTCTTTCTGAGATGCAGAAACAGCAGTAGAACTTGAGCTCCAACTTCCCAGGCCTACCAGTTGCCCCCTTCCCTCTGTGGAGACAGATTCCCTACAGACTGTAAAGAGCCAAGCCAGGTAAACCAGACAGCCCTCTGCATGCTCATTCATGGGCCACTCACCCACAGACAGCCCTCTGTATGCTCATTCATGGGCCACTCACCCACAGACAGCCCTCTGCATGCTCATTCATGGGCCACTCACCCACAGACAGCCCTCTGCATGCTCATTCATGGGCCACTCACCCACAGACAGCCCTCTGCATGCTCATTCATGGGCCACTCACCCTCTAGTGTTTGCAAAAAGGGCTGAAGGAAGAAGAAGCAGGATAGGAAAGAAGAGTGGCATAAATGGCAGGAATTACCCTAGAAACCCAATCACAGTCAGGTTCAGATGGACTGGGCCACTATAACCCCACCTACCTACAAGTGCTATAAAGTTTCCTTTTAGAAAAAGGGAGTCACTTAGAGAAAACTATTATGTAAATAACATTATAGGCTATATGAGAATATGGCAGAATTATGAGAGACATAAAATGGCAAATTATAAAATACTACTGTAAGATATATACAACTAAACAACATATAAGGCATTATAAAATTGCCCCATGAAAGATAGAAGAAGTGAGTACCATAATGATCAGAGAGAAGAAATCAATTCCAGTGAAGATGGTTAGGTACAAGATTCAAAGAAACTGAGAATTATTAGGCTGAGTCTAAATGAATGGACAGAAGAGGCTAAAAACACTAATACAAGCAAGCAGTAAGCAGGGAGGAGCTTAAGCGAGGTTAGAGATATCCAAAACACGGTCAGAACACAGTGAAGATACTTTAGAAAGAGAAAAAGGATTTCCAGTTTTTTTATTTTCTTACATAGAAACTACTTGCATTTATTTAGGTTTATTATATATTTTTAGACAAATAATATAGTTTAGCAAAAATTTGTTAGTCCACTGTATATATGAAAATACCATTTACAAAATGATATACAGACGGTCCTTGACTTAAGATAGCTCGACTTTAAGATGGTGCAAAAGTGACATTCAGCAGCAAATGTACTTTGAATTTTAAATTTTGATCTTTTCCCAGGCTAGAGGTATGTGGTACAATATTCTCATCATGCTGGGCAGTAGCTTAACTGATACTCTACAGTGTACTGTGTTGCCAGATGATTTGCCCAACTATTGGGTAATATGTGTTCTGAGCATGTTTAAGGTAATCTAGGCTAAGCTGTCATGTTTGGTAGGTTAAGTGTATTAAATACAATTTTAACTTATGATACTTTCGACTTATGATGGGCTCATTGGGATGTAACTCCATGGTTAAGTCGAGGAGTATCTGTATATCTACAGAGCAATAATTACCATATTATCATAGCTCTAAGACCTGAATAGTAGTAAAAATCACACCGTGATAGGTGTTTCATATCTCTTAACTTTTCCGAGGTCTCCTAAAGCCACTTAGGAAGCATAAAGCATCTTTACTGCCTTAAGCCCTTTGGTTAGATATCTATTACTGGCTCAGCAAATTCCAAATAGGCAAAAAGGAGGGAAAAAGAGTAACAGAGAAGAAAAAATCTATAAAGTGAGGAAATTAATTGAGGGGAGAATTACGTTGTTACAGGAAAACTGGAAAGACAAAGATTCTCATTTTTTATCCTGGAAAGATTAATTCTTTAAGACAAAATATGGAATAAAGATTATTATTAAACAGTCCTTAATATGCTTTTAATTATATTTTGTTTTATTCTATAAAATAATGCTCCCCTTGAACTATTTTACATACTCACACTTTGAAGCAAATGGTATAATTGTCTAAGTGTCCAAAGAAATCATTCTAATCCTAGAACAGCTTGCCTGTTACTTGGAAAATAACAGTATTAATTTTTCTCATCTAGATAAGAAAGAAGCTAGACCAGATGATATCTGAAATTTCTGCCAGTTCTAAATGTTAATGATTCTACATTGCTTATATAGCTAATCCACTACTTCCTTTTTCATAAACTATACTTCTTAAATCAGTGTTTTTCCTAATTATAGTGGAAAGTTTCCAAAATGTCTCACATTTTAGAAATACCAAAATTCAAATCTACTTCTAAGAATTAAAAATAATTTCCTTACAAATAAAGTCCTTTATTTCATACCATGTTCCTAGAAATATGGAAACACTATTTAAAAACTGGAACTGTATAAAAACCTTAAAGCAACAATTAATGAAAGTAAAACTGTAAAAATAGTCTCTATTAACTTAGTAAGTTGAAGCTTTGCATTAGAAAAAGGTATTACACTAGAAAATTAAGCAGATTACCTATTTTTTGATGAACCTCTGTAATCACAGTACTTAAAAATATAACTACTTTCTTCTGCATGATTTTAGTGCATAATTGCTAACTTTCCTGAATTTCCAAAACTTGTATGTAATTACTTTCCCATATGTATCCAAGGAAAGTTTTCATTTACCATTGCAAACGTTGATTTATTAAATAATAAAGTCCATGCTTTATAAGTCAGCATTACATTTCTCATAGAGAATTAAAGAAAAAAAATTTCCTATCATAGATAGTTATCAATAGTCTGGTAAGTCTTCCAACTAATATTTCATTAAAGAAATTAAGTGGGTGCTGCATTTACAGATGATGCTCGTGCTTTGGCCATTCTCCGAACCAGTGCTTCTTGTCTTTTTCTCTGAATTTCTTCAGGAGAACATTTTCTATTTTTCTCTTCTTCTTCTAAAAATTAAAAAAAATACAGGTTTTAGTTTTATAGCCTATAAAGTCATTCTGAATATGAGCTTTAATTTTCGCTATTTTATTACCCAGTTTTGCCATACTGGCTATTAAATCAAACTAAATTACTAAATACAAGATTCCAAGTGCATACAAATAGATACAATGCTCCAGGTCAATAGGAAATCAAGCACTGATCGATCTGTCCCTATCTGATACACTCTTTTCACAGTGTGATAAAATTCAATTTGATTAAAAACTGTTTATTTTGACTCCCCATCAAATAATTCTTGTGAATAATGACATCTAATTTATATGACCTATGAACAAATATCTTAAAAAAGGACTGGGATTTTAAATGTTATATAAACTTTAACAGAAAACTAGCTCAAATATAATGAATTGGATATCAATATCTCAAATACTGTGTTTGTACTATAAAATAAGCTATATTAATATTCATTGCCAGACGCGGTGGCTCACGCCTGTAATCCTAGCACTCTGCGAGGCAGAGGGGGGAGGATTGCTTGAGCTCAGGAGTTCGAGACCAGCCTGAGCAAGAGCGAGACCCCATCTCTACTAAAAATAGAAAAAGTTAGCAAGTCAACTAAAAATAGAAATAAAAAAATTAGCCAGGCATGGTGGCTCACGCCTGTAGTCCCAGCTACTCAGGAGGCTGAGGCAAGAGGATCGCTTGAGCCCAGGAGTTTAAGGTTGCTGTGAGCTAGGCTGACACCACGGCACTCGCTTTAGCCCGGACAACAAAAGCGAGACTCTGTCTCAAAAAAAAAAAAAAAAAAAAAAAAAGAATATTCATATCTATTTTTTTTCTCTATAAAGTTTTTATTTCATCTATTGAGAAAAAATATTTTAGAGTGATAGAATGAAATCTCTCATGTCAAACTGGCCACCTGTGACTCACTGCTAGATTTTTATTTGAAGGATGTATTTTGTAGAAACTTTAAAATAGTCTCTATTAACTTAGAAAGTTGAAGCTTTGTATTAGGAATTATTTTCTCATTTAAATAATATTTTTAAGTTTAAGACCATCCCCTAATACATATTTAAGTGAACTTTTATTGGTAAAATTGTTTGTCGTAAAATATACTTTGTAAGAAATAAGAATTTGTAATACTGTCAGAAGAGAAATATTATTTATACTGACATCAAGATTCAGAATTTATTATAAGACATTTCTCTTGTTAACTAAAAGAGGCAGTTTCCAAAATACATTCTGTCTCTCCTGTCTTTCTTGGTATAATCAGAAATGGGAGAGGGTATTCAGGGTAAGAAATATATACTTTAAATAAATTCCCCAGATAATTTTGATGTATTTTATTTCCTAAGCTAGTTATCTAACAGACTGTAGCTATTTTTCCTTACAGAAAGATACTAGAAGATACTTTATAATTAGTTTGACTAATTATTTAATATTTTAGTCTCAAAGTTGAGACACACAAAAAACTCAGGATACACATATACACAGAGAGTTTTCATTCAATTGATTATATGAAGGGAAAACAGATTAATAATCCACAACAGCAGAAAACAATATAACTTCCTAAAATTGGTCTTATAATTGGCTTGGTGATATTTTAGAAAGTAATTTCAAATGATATCAAGTCACACCATGAAAACTGATTTATGGAGTCATCCATTTTTCCCATCGGTCTTTCCTTCACCCCAATCTATAATAAAAATACACAGCAAAGTCTCAAACTATTTCAAGGTACTAAGAAAAGGTGATTCTTCTTCATTTTTATCTTAAAGTGCAGGGATTAGCAAATTTTTTTCCCATAAGGGGCCAGAAAGTACGTTAACCTTTGAGATCTCTTTTTGCAACTGCTCACCTCCACCACCGTAGCATAAAAATAGTCATGGATAATACATAAACAAATGATATGCTGTGTTCAAATAAAACTTTGTTTATGGACAATTAAATCTGTCTGGACTTCATATAATTTTCAAATGTCATAAAATATTCTCCCTTTGATTTTTTTTCAACCATTTAAAATGTAAAAACCATTTTTAGTGTGCTGGTTGTACAAAAACAAGCTGCAGGCTGGATTTGGACAGGCCATAGTTTGCCAACTCCTTCCTGAAATCAATGAGGAAGTGCGTTTTGTTTCAAAGATATTCCCTGGACAGCAGATTGCTATATACCAAAGTAAAAGAAAGTAGAAACACTAGAAAACATCAACAAGGTTAATATTAATTAAGAGATTACATACTATCAATAAACTTAAAGTAAAAATTGATAAAGTAAGCTAAAAGGCAGACTATCCATAAAAAATTCATATAGAATGATAGGAGTTTTAGAAAAACTCAAATACTCCAGAAAGATTTAGTCTTTAATGGAATTATAATGACAGTTGGCCCTTGAACAATACGGATTTGAACTGTGCAGGTGCAGGTCCACTTATATGCAGATTTCCTTCTGCCTCTGCTATCCCAGAGACAGCTAGACCAACCCCTTCTCTTCCTCCTCCTCCTTAGCCTATTCAGTATGAAGATGACAAGGATGAAGACCTTTATGATGATCCATTTCCACTTAATGAATAGTAAATATATTTCCTCTTCCTTATGATTTTTTTAATAACATTTTCTTTTCTCTAGCTTACTTCATTTTAAGAATACAGTATATGATTCACATAAGAAATATGTGTCAATCGACTCTTAATGTTACTTTAAGGCTTCTAGTCAACAGCAGGCTATTAGTAGTTAAGTTTTGGAGGAATCAAAATTTATATACAGATTTTCGATTATGTGGGAGATCAGCACCCCTAACCCTCACGTTGTTCAAGGGTCAACTGTATATCTAAGTAAATTCGTGCCGAGAACATGGTTGAATTAGTTATAATATACTCATTTTAGTGTAAACTTAAATATTTAAAATTATTAGAGATTGACAACAATTTTTAAAGTTTCAAATATCTAGTCTGGGCTGTAATGTAGAGAATTATCCATTGTCAGTGTTGATAATATAAATTGGTATAACTTTTTTGGAGCGAAATTTGATGATATCTGTCAAAATTTAAAACTTTCTCTCTTATATCAATTTTTTTGACTAGATAAAATCATATAAACATGCAGAAATTTATGTAGAAGGATATTCACTGGAGTATTATTTATAATTGCAAAAAACTGCAACCAACCTAAACATCATAGAGAAAGGTAAATTATGGTACATCCATATAATATACCATGTAGTCATTAAAAGGTCACTGAAGTAAATCTATATATACTAACAGGAAAAGATAGCTATAATATATTAAGTAAAGGCAAAGGCAAGTTGCCCCAAATAGTGTGTATATAGTATATAATTCCAGCTACTTAAATAAATTTAAAGGCACACACACACATATACATGTATGTATGTACACACAAACTCTCTTTTTATATGCATAGAGAATGCTACATGACGTATACCAAACTGTTAATAGTGGTTTCCCCTGAGGAATGGTTGTGGGAAAGGAGAAATAGAGGACTTAACTTTTTACTTCAAATTATTCTATACTGTTTTACTTCTTTCTTTTTAAACAATCAACATATTACTCTTATAAGTTAAAAAGGATAAAGTCACTTAAATAGTAAAGTTATAGCAGTAACACCACAACCGGACAGACAAGAGTCACTGAATATTTAAATGCAACTGTGATGAAAGAAATTAAGAAACAAAAAATAATCAAGGAAAAGACCTACTTACAGACTCTTCTAGGGAGGCCTCTGTGACAAATTAATGCTTTTATTGAGATATAAGAAAGCACCAAGAAAAAGGTGAGGGTGGGGGAGTAAAACGTTGGGAAGAAGTAGTTTCAGTCAAAGGGAATAGCACAGTCTAAGTTCCTGAACTAGAAAAAGAACATGTGAGAAATGGAAAGACAGCTGGTGTAGCTGAAGCTTTGTAGGTAAGGGGAAAAAAAGGAGGCACGTTAAGGAGAGATAACCCAGGGCTTTGTAGATGATAGTGTCAAGTCTGGATTTTATTTGAAATATGATGGGCAGCCATTGAAGGTTGTCTTAAGCATAGGAATGCCATGTTTGCCTATCTGGTTTTAAAAAACTATTCTGCTATTTGGAGACTAGAATCGAAAGGGGACATGTAAAAGAACTGCAAAAGTCAAGAAATGCTGGCTTGGATAAGGGTGGCAACAGTAGAAAGTGAGAATGGACAGTCTTGAGACATAATTTTTGAGGTAGAAACAGTGGCACTCATTGATAGAATGGAGAATTGGGGAAAAGAGGAATTGGAATCAGAAATGACAGGTTCTATCAATTAAGTAAATCACAATTTTAACCATCACAATTATAATGTTTTATATTAGACATTATACTTAGCAAAAGTGTTTAATTAGAATGCTCTAAATTTTAAAGTATCGCTCAGCCCACTGTTCTACTAAAAGTAGGAGTAAGATCACTTAAGTTTTAAAACAATGGCATATTTAGTAAATACAATCTTAAAACAGTGTAAGACATATATCTAAATGTATAATTTTCCAGAAAATAATTCATAAAACATTCAGTAAATATTTACTTAGTAACTACTACATGTTAGTCACTGTATTAAGTGCTGGGAAAGAATTTGATGTAAACTTTTGAAAAATAAACCACTTATTCTTCACGTACTACAGCATAATTATTTGTAAGAATCACTTTAAGAATTCTAGTTAAACATCATAGAATAGTTTTACCTTATTACACTCAAAACAACAAATAACTAGTTTTACTACTTTTCAACGAAAACTATTTCATACATACCTTTTGAAGACTGTTCCAAAGATTGTTGCAGAACAGCCTCTCCCAGTAATGGGTTGACAGAAGTAGTTTTCTTTTTCTCCAAACTCTGTGTAATATTGGTATCAGACATACTTCCTGTTACACAATTTTGATTAAACTGAGAAACAATCTGAGAATTGTTCATCTTTGTAAATGTATACTTTGAAAATCTAACTGTATTGTTAAGGTTGCTCTGAGCTTCATCTGTTATGGTCTTATGGGATAGCTGCTGAGTACTCAATTTCTTCTCATAAGCAGCAATTTCTGTACTCAAATGATCTGAATTCACATTCAAACTTGAACTTCCTGCAAGAGCTGATTTGGAACTATTCACTTGTATTGGAACATTAGTGTTACTCCAAGAGGCATGCAGGTTGTTGATCTGACAATTTGAGTTCTTAGAATACATAGTGAAATTTGTTGTAGCGCCTAAAAAACCTGGAGAATTTCCACATATTTCCCCTTTGTCCATCTTTACTGATTTATCTATTTTTGAGCTATTTGTTAAGGAAGATGTTTGCACTGAAATGCTGCCCAGATTCAACTGCTTTGATTGTACCAAATGACTTCCTTGTTTAGATGCAGTAAACATGTTTTTGGCTACATGTTTGGAATTATTATTGATCACAAGTATGCTTTCTGATGTCTTGCTATCCTTTCTAACGTTTTGTTGCTGAGTTAGTCTTTCAATATCATCACACGCTTGGTACAACAAATCATCATCTACATCATCTGCTTCCCAGGTATTCTCTAACTGATGACATGTTTTAATAATTTCATTGGCAAATGATGGATCATTCCAATCATCAAAGAAAGAACCCAATTTTGATGCATTAGTCTGATTTGCATTACTAACACTGGTTTCATTGCCTAGAGTTGCAGAGCCAAAAAAATCAATATCAACAGGTGCTTTAATAGACTGATTAAAAATGGGCTTATTTTTTTGTTCATTGGAATACCCTGTGTTCAAAGCAGACTTCTTTTCAGAAGCATTTACACTAGAAGTAAATTTAGTATGAATATCTTCCTTTACTTTTGTCAGATTAGATGCAATTGCATAATCTTGAACGATTTTATTGAAAGATTTCTCAAATTTCATATTATTTTCAGTGGATGGTAATTTGTTTGATTTATCATTTGGATTTGGTGAAAATCTATATTCTCCAGCATCTATTAATTCTCTGTTATCTGTCTTTGAAGGAAGACCCTGTAATATATTTGAATCTCTTAATCTGACATCTAGACTTGTTCTTGACTTACTTTTATCATTTTTACTATTAAAGGTACAAATTCCCTTTTGATCAGTAACCCAGGCTGTTTTAGAAGGGAATAGTTCAGGCATTTTGACATTTTGCATAACCAAAGCTTCATTACTTAGTAAGTTTTCCCACTCATCCTCAAAATCACTGGCATTAAATGCATCAATGGGCTTATTAGAAGTTTCTGGCTCCTTAGTACAGGAAGTCACACATGATTTTGTCATTATGGTAGTATCCGCTTGAGGAGAAAGTGAACCCAGGCTTTTATTTGGTAATTTTTCAGTGACCAGAGTTTCATTAATGACTTTGTCCTCTTTCAAAGCATTTTTCTTTCCAAAGGTAGTATTACTGGTGTTCAAAGAAGATTCTTGGCTTAACTGTCCACTACATTTCTGAGTAGAACCATCGAAAATGGCATTAAAGGCTGCTTCAGCATTTTGGTCGAATGGCTTCTGACTGCTATTTTGATCATCTACCATGGATATCTTGGTGTTTTCTTTGATTGGTTTCTTTATTACAGCACTATCTATTTCAGTACCTACATTATATAATGACTGCATCTGTACATTATCTTTACAATTATTTAAAGTCTCTGTTTCTGAAATTGTCTGGATAAAATCATAATTCCTCTTGTTTTGTTCTTGAATCACATCTAGCTCTTCCATATTTTTATCAAATTGTTTAGCCAATTTCATAAGTTCTTCCTCTTGATTTTGTGTTTTTAACCTGTTAAACAACATTAAAAATTATAACTAAGAAATATTCTAAAAGACATTATATTCAATTATTATTTAACATATTTTGATGTTAACACTCAAAAATTTTAGCACTAACATTATAATTACTTTAATTCCAAAATTTTACAGATTAAAACTAAGGAAATCTTATTAACTATTTTGATATATTCACAAAACCAAAACGGAATTTTTTTTTTTTTTAAGAGACAGTGTCACTCTGTCATCCAGGTTGGAATACAATGGCATGATCATAGCTTACTACAGCCCAAAGTACTGGGTTCAAGTAATTCTCCTGCCTCAGCCTCCTGAGTAGCTAGGACTACAGGTGCGTACCACCATGCCTGGCTAATTTTTTTATTTTTGTAGAGATGGGATCTCACTGTGCTGCCCAGGCTGGTCTGAACTCCTGGCCTCAAGTGATCCTCCTGCCTCAGCCTCCCAAAGTGCTGGGATTACAGGTGTAAGCCACCATGCCTGGCAAAACAGAATACTATAAAAAAATATTTACTTCACTGAAACTCAGAAAATCTGAAAAGTCAGAACTCACTTTGTGTAGCTGATTTTTGCTCTCGATTTTCCTTTTGCTATACTGGGAGTACAAGGAATAGCAGTTTCGCCGATCCACACGCCCAGCATAGAGTTTGTTGTTGGTTTTTCATCCTTTTGGCAGAGGGGGAAAAAAGAGGTATAAAGTACCAAAAAAAAAAAAGAGAGAGGGAGAGCGAAGTGAAAAAAGGAAGGAAGAAAATAAAACCTAACTACTTTGAATTCTTTTCTTAGAGCAATAAATTCTGGTGGGTGATAGTCAAAAACCATGAGAAGTTGGGGGATGGCAATAAAAAGTTGCAAGAAGTGATCCATTTATGTTTCAGAGAATGAAAACATTCTGAACTAGATATTGCTTATTTTCAAAACAATTAAGGTTTAAGAATTAAATTATTTATCAAATGCATATTTAATAACAAGAGCACATGTTTTTATCAAAATAAAATGGACTTATTTCAGTTGTCATAAGATATACAAACATTAGTATCAGAAACAACAAACTGTGGCAGAAATCATCAGAATTGAGAATAAAGAGAAATACATATGGAATTATTTCTGTATCATCTGATTCTCCAAATTTTCCTCATCCTCATTATAATCTTTATCTAAAGTTGGACAATCCATGTTGACCTAAATTGAGAACACTCAGAAATAAGGTCAGGGCTAAGTTACACATAGGAGCGAGGTTAGAACTGATGCTAAGAATGAGGTAAGAATAAGAACAAAAAGTAAGAAGAGAAATAGAAAAAGTTTACCTACTCCAGATCTGGATAAAATCTAGGAAAAAGCCATTTTAGATCTGGATATTTTTGCTATGCCTTTCAATCACTTGATCACATAAAAAATTGAAGATGAACTTTATGCATTAACTGTAAACCAAACCAACAAATCAAACTGATTAACTATTTTTTACTCCATGTTATAGTACCTAGAATGAACATAAATAACTATAACACAAGGTAAAAATAGTCTTATCACTAGATTATAGGTTACTGAAAGGCAAAGACTTTATGATAGCTTAGCATCTACCACAACACTGGGCATAAAAATGTTAGTTTACATTTATTTACTAGAAGGTTTAGGTGAAAAGACCCCTACAACTTGGTACTTCAAAATCCTCATAGAATCAACAAGCAGTTTTTTAAATGTCCACTTGAATCTAGTTGACTTTAGCTTTAAAAATACTCAAGAAAATAATTTCCCTTTAGAACTCAATATTTATTTTCCCTTTTGTTTTCACCAACAATTTTGAATTTTAAGAAAAATAACATTCTTAATGATTTAATTATGGACTCTACCATTTACCAAATAATTTAAAATTCAACCGATTTTCAAAGAATTAAATTATGACAACTTTATGTGTCCAACTTTATATATGCATGGGTCCTATGTATGTCTGTATACTATTTGTAAGTGTCATATTTTACAAATTTTTTCATTAATAATTACATAAATTAGTGATTCCCAATTACAATCCAGGTGTTGTATAAGGTATCTAATTATTTAATTTCATCCTGAAGAGTATACTACGTAAAGTTTTATGAATGATGGTAAGATATATACCATCTTCAAATAAACATTTGTATAAAAAGTATCCCTGAAAAGTGAAATAACTACCCAATTAAAATGGAAGTACATATTTAAAAAATATGCTATCTCTGAAAACACTGAGAAGAAATGAAATAATGATTTGAGGAAGGTAACTCACCTAAAAATAAACATAAGTGTTTGTCATTCTGAGAACATGACAAGCTTTTAAACAGACCTTGATAATGCTTTAAAAGTGCTCAGTTGAAGAGGGTAACATTTAAAAGCAACTAATTTCACTGTATTTTTTCTTTGTTACAAGTTACCACTTGTGTACTGTTGCCATTTCTTTATGTGAGCTATTATTTCCAGCCCATTTAGGTAAAGGTTCCAATAATTTACTCAACTATCTTTTTATCACTATTTAGGCTGGCCAGCCCAAACACATTTTATTATGCTTCTTTGATGTGAAACCCACAATTAATGAAGATCTATTGTTAACTTATAGAGTAAGTAGTATTATGGCACAAATGCTATTTAACTAATGAACCATACGTAAAGTGAATTTCTATTACATGCCAAATGTGGAATGTAGAGCTAGTAGCAACAGAGTTGTTTTGATTGTGCTAGTTGTAATTTTGGATATTTTATAGCTGTAAAGAAAAACTTTATTTCCTGTCTCTTCCACCTGGATGATGGTGATTCCTTATAACCATGTTTTGGACCACAGCCATCAATTGTTTATGGCTAAGGTAACAATGTTATGTTTCCAAGGATATGTTAAGGAAAAATACCATACTTCCTTCAGAAAAGACACTAAGTAAAAATTGGGTGTTCTCTAGATTTAAATATTGTTAAATAAGAAAAAAGAAGGCAGAAAAGTAAAGAAGCTCAGAACAGTTTCATGTGTCAAGCCTGTGCTTCTTCTAGTGGTATGATGAATAATATTAGAGTCACTGAATTCCTTTGTGTCAAATGACTGACTTAAACTTATATTTCTATTTCACCCAAGCAGTCCAAGAACTGAAGAAAAAAAAAAAACTTTTGAAAATGGTTCTATTTCAGTAAGTAACAACCTTAACATAACCTTATAGTGCTCTATAGTTTACAAAGAATTTTTATCTAATTTCATCCTCACAGTGATCTAATGAAGAGTGCAAGACAAGTAATAATTCTAGTTTATGGCTGAATGAACTGAAGTTGTGAGAGTTTAAGTAACTTGCCTAAAGTCACACAGCATAGGAGGCTGAATGAGGACTACATTTAAATCCAGTGCTCTTCCCACTTTTATAAGTGTTTCTTGGTAAGTCAATGAGTATTAACAAGAGCAGTTTCAATGAAGAAACGTTGTACTATAGATAGTAAACAAATACTGATCACAAAAATTATAAAAGTTTAAATTTTTATTAATTTCCCTATTCTTTTAGTAACTTGAAAAATGATGCCATATGTTAAACACAACATTAAAAGACAAAATAAACACAAAGCTCTAGTCAAAAATCATTACTCTAAAAAAATTAAAGCAAGATATATGCCTGAGAAAACATATATATTACCAATTTTATATGATGTTTGTTTTTTCAAAACATGTATTTCAGAAGTAGAAAAGGTAAAAGCAATTTTTGCTGTTCTATTTTAGGGAAAGAGAATTACAAAAGACAAAACATTATTTTTCATTTAAAGGAACTGTACAAGGACTTAGAGGCACATTTTTCACTGTTTTACAAACTATAAAACTGATATTTACCTGAGGAGCAATACGATTAACAATATGTGAAATCTCATCACTATCTGTGGTGTAAATATGTTTTTTTCTTCCTTTACCTAAAGAAACAAAGACGTTTCTATAAATTTTAAACAAAAAAAGCTTATTTTTAAAAAATAGCTGTCACTTCTTCAAAAATGATTTTAGTGTAGCTTAGATGACTACACACTATATGATATCACATACATATGGATAAAAATCACATAAGATTCTCAAAAAACATCTGTTGTATTAAAGTTTCTGATGTTGTTACCCAACTAAAATTCCGCAGTTAAATCCGAATCATTTATCCAAGATTTACCCACATAAAAATGTTAATAAATTACCTAACTGCTTTGTCAATGGAGAATTTTGATCCCAGAAGATATCATTCTGTCCATCTGGATCATTAGGAGAACTGAAGGTAGACGACAATAAATCCATTTTCGGCATTCTCTTTGGTGTTTCATACCTTTCTACATAAAATATGATTAAAATAACAACTGTTGCATTTTAAAGCATTACTTTACTTCATAATATCCCAAAGTCAAATAGCTTAGATTAGATTAATTTTTACAGTCAAATACAAAATTTTTTCCCAGAGACAACTGTACTACTTGAACCACGATTGAAATGCTTGTTTCACATAAAAAAAATCCATGTAGCACTTCACAAATTTGACATTGTAAATAGCAAGTATTCTTAGATGATCTAGAAGCTCTTTGAATGCATTATACAATACTGTATAACTTAGTCACTCCATTCACTCATTATCACTGGGACTTGGAGGTTTTGGGGAACCACCTCTATGTAACTTATAGGTGGATTTCAAAAATTAAATGTCCCAACAGAAACTTCAGTAAAAGTCTGTTTCACCAACTCTGTCCAACCAATATCAACTACAGTACTTCAGAAAGCATTAGTCATCCAATCCTTGGGAACTTTTGCCTAGAATCATTTTTATATTTCTACAATGTTTTGTTTTTGTTCATTCCCGAATTGCTTTATGGGAGTAAATTAAGAGATATGTAAGGTAACAAAAGCAGTGTTTTAAGAACACGCTCTAGCAAAAGGCTTTTGTATGAGTTTCAACCCCTACCAGGATTTTTTAGAACTCTTTTAAAATGAAACACCAAAGACTGATCAGAATGTGAGACCCTTCATTGCCTACTTCCAGGGATGTTACACACAGCAACTTCCGGTTTATTCATAATGAGATGAGACATCGCCACAGCTCTGAGGAGACAAGCTATAGCTTTTCACATGGCCTCGTCCTTAAAGCACGTCAGGGCAAAAAGTTTAAGGGCAAATAAATTCCCTGGGAATAAGCTGAGGGCAACAAGCCTATCAGCTATTTCTCCGGGCTCCACCACCGCTGCTGACTGGAGGAGCAGCCTAGACAGCAGCGGCCCTCCCACAAACAGGTAAACCACACGACGTATTCCTGTGGCTGGTCAAACCTAACGGGGCAGTGCTCAAACTCGGGGACAAAAGCCGTGGGGCAGTGGTACGCGGTTACTTTTGGACTCGCGAGGGTTATATTGGAACCCCAGAGAAAGAAAACACACTTCCGGACTCCACCCCACCCCCTCCCCGATCTCCCTGTTGCGAGCTGGGCTGTGGGGGTGCAGCGCCCAAACCCAGGCAGGCCACGCTGCCGGCGTCTCACCCTCGGGGTTACTTTTACTGCACGAAGCGGCTGCTGGAGGCTGCTCTTGCTGCCGCATTGGCCCGGGAGGCCTATCTTCAGCCCCAAGGAGCCCAGAGCCGCGGGCCGACTTCAGCCGCCTCCTCCCTGGCTCGACCACCGAGCCGCATTCCTCAGCCGCTTCTATTTTTCGCGGCGTGTTCTTCAGGCCAGGGCTGTCCCCATGTTTCCTTCGCCGACTCATGGCCTATGACCAGCCTCCACCAGCCACTTCTCTCCTCACATTTTGCAACGGGACGAGTAGGGCAACAGCACTAAACGCAGGACTCCGAGCAAACGGCCGCCGCCATTTTGGCCGAAGGGGCGCGCGTAACAGGCAGCCGCTCATAGGCTGCGTCCGGGAGAGGGGCGGAGCTGTCAGAGTGCAGGCGGCGCGCTTGCTTCCGCAACCTGAACTTGATTCTGTTGGGGCGGGCCGGTAGGGGGAAAAGATTCTGCTCTGGACTGGAAGAAAGAGCTTGCAGGTGATCAGGTCTACTTAGCTGAGGGGGGGAACTTGTTAAAGTGGAAAGGAGGTTGAATACACTAGCAGCTTTGTATTGAATTTACAACGAAAATTGCACATTCGATTCATATTGTGAATTTGTCAAGAAGAGAAAATAAAACTAATTTTTCATAGATGATAAGTGCATAGAAAAATCCAAAAAAGTAAACAAAATTCAGTTAATTAACAGAATTGCTGATTAAGGTCAATATTCAAAGATCGATGTATTTCAATAGATTAGTAACATAAAACTGAAGTTTTAAAGAAATATTTATAATAGCATATAAAATAGCAAATAATTAGGAATAAATTAAATCAAAGATTGCCACTTCTACAGAGAGAACTGTAAAACATTTTTGAAAGAAATTTAAGCCCTAAATAAACGAAGGGTTATACTACAATATGTTCATGGGTTGTGAATATCAATATTATTACAATGTCAGTTCGTTCCAAATTGACCTATAGATTCAATGAAAATATATTCATAGTCCCAGTAGAGGGGTGTGTGTGTGTATAAAACATGACGAATTTATTCTAAAATTTGTATGAAAATGCAAAGGACCAAAAATATACCAGAAATTCTTGAAGATGTCTTGAAGAATAATGAAATTGGATATCTACCAGATATCAAGACTTATGTAAAGTTACGGTAATTATTAATAAAACAGTGTTAAAATGGTGAAAGGATAGACAAAGATGAAAGAAATAGAATAGATAGCCTAGGAACAGCCTTCCACATCAAAGGACACTAGACTGAAGATAAAGGTGACCCTCCTGAGCAATGGGAAAAGGACTTTTGAAAATAAATAGTGCTCAATTTTGCATTCACATAAAGAAAGGAAGAAACATGATCTTTACCTCAAACCATATCCCCAAATCAAGTGCGTATTTATTATGAATTAATTATAAAAGGTAAAATAATATTTTAGGAGATGTAAATTGTCTTCATGACAGAGAATCAATTTTAAATAGAACATAAAAGTCACCAGCTATATAGAAAATGATTATAAATTTGACTACATTAAATTGATAACTTGAGAACTTGTGTCCATTCAAAGACAACATTAAAGAGAATGAAAAGCAAGGCACAGATTGGGTGAAAATATTTATAAGACATATAGTCTAGGGCCCATATAGAGGATATATAAATAACTGATATAAATTACTAAGAAAATGATTGATCATCAATTAAGAAAAATGGATGAGACACTCTAGCAGGATCTTCACAAGAGAAGATCTAAATGATCGACAAAGTTGTAGAATGGTGCTCAGCTCCATTTTTAATTAGAAAAATGCAAATAAAAACTACATTGGAATGGCTTAAATTAAAAAGATTGTCAATACAGCTATCAAGGAAGTAGACCAATGGGGGAACTGTTGTGTACTGCTGGTAAGAGTATAACTTGGTACAACTTTGGAAAATAATTTTTGATCTAGGAGTCCCATTCCTAGAAATATACCTTGTGGAAATGCATGGACTTGTTCATCAAGATACATTTTATAAAAATACTTTTAGCAGTAAAATTCAAAATTACCCCACACTGTAAGCAAACCAAATGCCTTTCAACAGTAGTATGGTAAATATATTGAGCTATATTCACACAACAAAACGCTACATAGTAAAGAAAATGAAAAACTACAGCTCTGTGCAAGAACATGGATAAATCTCACAAACATAAAGTTGAGGAAAAAAGGCTAAATGCCCTCATCCCTCCTTCATTATGTTATATAAATACTATATAAATTCCAACAGGCAAAATTCAACTATAATGTATAGGGATGTAAGCATAAGTGTTAAAATGATAAGGAAAAATCTAGGAAGTGATTACCGTAAAGGTCAGGATAATAGTTACCTTTGGGAGAAGACAAGGGATAGTGATTAGAAATGGACAGGGAGGGGAGTATCCCTTGTATTAATATTTATTAGCTTTGTTTATTTTCTTGTTCTAGTTGTTGATTACAGGAGTGCTCGTTTTGTGATAATTTGTTGAGCTGTACATTTTATTTTGTGTACTTTCTGTATATATTATATTAATGAAGAAAAAATGTTTTAAAATTTTAATGTAAGGCAAAAATCTTAGTTTCCACTGATGAACTAATATATTTCTTCTATCTTTGTAACTTACTCTGTTTTTACTCTTCAGCTTGGCTGACAGAAATCCTAGAACTAAATTTGAGGTTCAGTTCTAGCAAATTATAAAAACTGTTATGACCAAATAATTCCATTTTCTTGGACCTTCTACTAATATATTCCCTTTCCATGATTGTTTTTAACATATATTTATATATATGTGCGTGTGTGTATATATCTATCTATCTATACACACACACACAAACACACACACACACACACACTATTGTTTGTTTTATGTTTTTGTAACTGGATATGACAAGAGTATAAGTAATGTTACGTCTTAAAATTCAAATTAATTACTTGAACCTCCACTTGTCTAACTGAGTTGGAATATTGTTATTTCTCTCTGCAATCTCTCCTACCTCTGAACTGCCCCCAAATACTAAAAGCATAAAAAAGAAAGACTTCATTTACCCAAAGAAATACCCAACTTACATTTAGAAAATAGTTGAAATGGTTTAAATAATTTAGTGGTACTTATAGGAATAATAACCATGTGATAATCCTTTAAAACATTAATGCTGCAAATAAAATAACAGTGAATAATTTACCATGACTGTCCAAATTCTATAGGGCCTAAGTAACCATTGTACTAAGGAACAACTTAAGCCTAAAGAACAGGCTTATTATTTTAGCACACCCAGGGTGGCTATAATCTGTAATTATTATTTGGTAGGAAACTATCATAAGTTTTAGCTTAAAAGTTACTTATTTCACACAATCTGTTACAGTTCTAAATGTACTTCACATTAAATGTACTTCCTTAATATAACTCCTGAAATAAGTATGGTACAATTAACTCCTTAATAAAATGTTTTTAATGTGAAACAAAAGTCCCATAGACTTTCGAATGCAAAAGAGCCAAAATTTGGCATTTCTGGGCATTTGAATAATTTATATATATAAGTAAGCTTTAATACAACTGAAAACTTCAGTAAGTAAAATTCTTGCTTGGTTCACTTATGAAATTATTCACAAACTTGAAGGTAACTATTAAGCCAAACATTGTGACACTGAGAGTTGCTAAGGAGCTTCTCTGCCTGTGCTGTTCTCCTCACTTACATGACAATGATGCTATCTGCTGGATCAATGTCTAAGTGTGAGCAGTCTTTGTTTCAAGAAAAAAATAATATGATCACTAATTATGTGATTATATTTACATCATACATACAAAGCTCCAGCTGAAAACCTATGAGGGTACAACTGGCAGAAAGTGAACAAGCAACAAAATGAGTAGAGATTTTTTTTACAGCCTTGTTACTGCTGTGTTTTTACCCCAAAATGCACCTGGGTAAGTGCTGAGCTTGTTTTCTGCTCAGTCCTGACCTATCTGCATTTGTAACTAGAACCACCCACCATGCCTAACTGCTCCATCAAGAGCCTCTGCTGTCTAGGTGATGTGTCTGGCCAGATCTGACTGTCTCACATTGAGACAACCATATTCTCTCTTGAAGATTTGAACTAAGAATTTGCTAAAAAGCCTTTGCAAAACCACAGGTTGTTAGGGGAGGGAGCTTAGGAAGGGGATTCAGAAACTATGAAGAAGCCTGCTCAGAGTGGAACCAAATGAAGCTGCAAAATTATGCAGACTGAGAACTGCTGAATTAACTACTGTTGATTCTGGATATCTTGAAACCCAAACAACCATTCAGCTCCAGTGTCTCTCAGGCCACATTCTATTGCGATTCCAATCTTTTTCTTTTCTTTTTCAATGTGAGCCCTTACAGTAAACTTCCTGTCTTTGATGGTCTCTATTCCTTATATCCAAAAAAAACCTCCTAAAACAGAGCAAAAACACCAGCATTGGGATCAAGGGTTATAGTCTAACTGTTTCTCAATTCTTGAGAATGAATTAGGAACAGAGAAATGCAAGGTACAAAATGCTTTATTTTTAAATACTATTTGCAAAACACCAAAGCCACCCTTATGGACATGATGATTGCTGTAAAATTGGCAGAATCACACTTAATTATAAATGATTTGAGTGGCTTTTTATAATAAGTTAAAAGAATATTGTTTTGAAAAGTTCAAAATTGAATGCAACAGAATCCCATTTAAAGATAGGGTTGGTATTTTAATAGGGATTGTGTTAAATCTGTAGATCACTTTGGGTAGTAATAGACATTTTAACAATGTTGATTCTGCCAACCCATGAGCATGGCATGGCTTTCTACCTTTTTACATCCTCTGCTATTTCCTTCCTCAGTGTTTCATAGTTCTCCCTGTAGAGGTCTTTCACCTCCTTAATTAAATATATTCCTAGGTATTTTATTGTGTTCGTTCCTATTATGAAGGATATTGTGTCTTCGATTTGGTTCTCAGTTGGACTGTTGTTGGCGTATAGGAATGCTACTGATTTCTGTACATTGATTTTGTAACCTGAGACTTTGCTGAATTTGTTTATCAATTCCAGTAGTCTCATGGCAGAATCTTTGGTGTTTTCGAGATATAAGATCATATCATCAGCAAAGAGCGATAGTTTGACCTCTTCTGCCCCCATTTGGATGCCCTTGATTTCCTTCTCTTGTCTGATTGCTCTGGCTGGGACTTCCAGCACTATGTTGAATAGAAGCAGTGATAGAGGGCAACCTTGTCTGGTTCCAGTTCTAAGTGGGAATGCTTTCAATTTTTCCCCATTCAGTATGACGTTGGC